GGCTTATCTTGTGTTTGCGCCGACATGCACCGGTTTGCATTCCTTCATCCGGGTTTTTCCCCAAATGAATGCTCTACTGTAGATCTTGTTACACCACAGTACTCCCAGGAGCAGTACCCCTGGTCCGCGCCCTTTCGGTTACAGTATACGATGCTACTACAGATTAAGTTGACATATCCGGAAGGGATATACAAGGAGTAGTTTTCAAATTTTCGTCACCGGTAGGATTCAAACCCTAGACCTTGCTACTTGGGGGTGACAACTCTACCACTTCACTATGTCGCCACACCCTCCATAATATAGATTTTAATACTATTGTAATTTAAATTTATTAGATACATCAATGTAGCAATTTCTTAAAGAAGTTTCACTCCCAGAATTACACCCAGCATTGAATAATAGATCAAAAATTGAGTATATGATTGCAACAAAGTATTGAGCTGAACATATATAGTCAAGATATTATAGGTGTTGCATATATACTTTTAAGACAAAAACAAAATAATAATGATGACCCTTATATTAGATCTATCTATAAATATATACTATATATAATATATATGTAAGCATATACTTTCTACTTATTAATTGGTCTATATACATATTTAAAACTCATATCTATTTTAAAATATAAAGATTTATCCAAATATTTTATTTAGTTTTTATAACTACATAATATTAAATATTAACTATTGTCAAAAAAATCTAAAAAATAAAATAAATATATATAAAATATATAAATATATATATTTAAATCAAGGTTAGGCTGGATATTGGACATGGACATTAGACAACCCTTGTCCAGTCCAGTCCAATCCATTGGACCAAAATGTATTGGATATTAGATATTGTGTAATATATAAATCATGTAACAAATAGCCAATCAAAAATCTTTACAGTATCACATTAAAGAAAGACGTGATCACGTGATAAAGAAAATATTTATAAAAAGTTCATTAAGGTTAAGGTTAGCATTTATATTAAAGCTAGAAATTAGTGAAATAGATAGTAAAATCACTCAAGGAAAGCTTTTTGTTAGTCCATATTTTTATAAAAACTTTTTTTATATTTTTTAAAATTATTGAACATATTGGACTAGACATATATCCAAGTATTATGTCCAATGTCTAGTCCAGTCCAATAGCATAAAAATAGTTGGACATATGTCTAATACTAATACTGATTTAAATATATAGAAAAATATCAAAAAAGTAAGAAAATTTTAAATTTATTATATATATATATATAAATATATATACAGTATATATTAAATATTAATTGCCCAAAGGATATTATAGGAGAGTCATAGTGACCTGAATGCGTATATCTGCAAATTAAGGGGTTTGATTGGTTAATCTGATAAAAACAAACATTTCTCCAAAAATACCTATTGTTGAACTCAGTGTCTGAAATTGGATTGCAGAGTCTGCGGACCGCAACAAATTTTAAATTTCCACAACCAAAATCTGAAGAGCATATGCAAATTCCACATATAAATTTTACCTATAAATTTCGATTAAATGTTCATGTACGCAATTAAATTTTATAAATTTTTATAATCCACAAGTCATTTTTTTTAATTGGTTGCAGCCCGCAACTAATTTAAAAATTGAATTTTGAACTGATCTATAATAAGTTCTTCGGACCTTAAATGGTTTCTATTTATCTAGTTATCTTTAAAAACATTAGTATTTGTATATGCTTTTACAATTCTACATATGTTGAACAATACTGTGGACATCCTGTTAAGTTTTAACATATTTATGGCTATGGAATTGGATATATTTTGGCCAATAAACATTATAGACAAGCATTAGGTCTAGGTCAATACTTGGCTAGAAAACTTCCAATATTAAATACTACTAAAAATTTAGAACAAATATATAAATTATGCACAATATATTTAAAAGGTAGAATTTATAATTATATTTAATTATTAAATTTATATTTTAATATTTTATTTGATTTTTAGAAATATTCATAACAAAAAGGGAATAAATAAGAAAATTAAAAAAAAATGTATTCATTAATTAAAAATCAAATGGCTTATAAAATTATAAATACTTTAGAATTTTTTGAACATTGTGAAGAATCTGGTATAGTGGGTATGTTATATAATTATTGCATTACTATATGTAATTTAAATTATATAAATTATTAATTATATATTTATTGTTAGATTGGGTACAAAATAAAAAACAGCCATGGATACTTGCTGGCTTGTCTCCTGTTTTTACAAAAATAGCACAAACAATTTGGACTAGTACACTATTTACAACAAATGCTGGGGAATCAGCCCATGTGAACATTAACAGAAATGGGTGTAATTTATCTTTATTGGCAGCAATTGGCAAGTATATATATTAAAATTTTAAAATTATATAAATCTTTATTTTTGCTTAAAAATTTTAATTTTATAATTAAAAAAATAGGGCCAAAGAATTTGATAAGCTTCAATGGAGTTTAGCATATACATATGAAAGAACAAGCATATCAGAAACCTATCAAGATAAATCACCCTTACAAAGAACTACTGAAGCAATTAAAAAAAGCAGCAAGTTATACAATATAATTTATTGTTTGCAAATAACCAATAATCTATTAATAAATTTAAAGACAAGGGTAAAAGCAAACGTTCTAGTGCTAATAAAACTTAAGTTAACCAAAAATCTTCTAAAAAAGTTCAAATTGCGAATGAATCAGTTAATATTGAAAAACAGGAAAGATTTTTAAGAATTGAAGAAGAGAAATTGGCTATTCAAAAAAATAAAAATAATGAGTTGGAAAAGGAGATTATGTTATAGGAAAAACTTTGAAGACTTTTAAACAATAGCTAAACTTTTTTTTACTAAATATGTACTTTGTGAATTGTTATATCGATATAATATATTTTATTTGTGAATGTAATTGCACAATAATGTATCGATATATATTTATTTTGCTAATGCTAATAAACTATATATTAAAGTAAACTATTGGCACTATAATGATATATGACAAGTTTTCTCTTGGCGGCATTCAGTAATTTTAAATTGCTTTCAGTACCGATATTAAAAAAAGTCAATGTATTGTACATTACTATTTTGTTATTTATGTGTTTTTTATTCAATACAGTACAGTACATGTTTATATTTTATATAATAAAAAAGGTGTACTGTATGGATATATAATATAGTACACCTAAATCTAAGTACAGTATATTCAATACTAAAATACAGTACGAAACTTTTACAGTCTGGGTTTTTTCTTGGTAGCACTCATATATCTCTATACAGGTACTGTATCTATTACACATTTTTCACTTTTATCACTGCCACTAGTTTTTTCAAATTGGTAGTGCAGATCTATGTGAAAATTCTATAGCATATTCTTTTAGCAGGTTTAACAAGATATAAATCTGAAGACTAGATCAATAAACAAATAATGAAGTATATATAAGGAAAAAATAAAACAAACAAAGAATTGAATATAAATAAATAAAAACAAAATAGATATATCACAAAAAGACCATGGTATTAATGACTTTATTATTATTATTACAAGAAAATATATATAAAAATAGATTAATTATTGTCACAGCTAATGCTAGAAATGGTTGATAATTAAAATCAGGAACCTTAATTTAAAAATATAAACCCTAACAAAATCCACTTATACTCTTTTATTATTAAAACTACACCTAAACCCTGATCAATTTGAAAACTTACATTAGCCAAAGAAAAAAAAAGAGCTGTATAATAAGTTTTTGAATGTATTAAAAAAATTCAAACTTTCTATATAATCCAAATTTTAATATTGGATACTCATAATTTCAAATTTTTTTATATTATTACAGATGAAGAGCTTTGTTTAGATAAGCAGGCTGAAGACAATTTATATACACAACACAAATTTGTCTAGTTAAAAACTTATAAAATATTTGTTCTATGCACAAACAACAGAATATGCAGACTAAAATAAAACTTGAAAAATTGCATATAGTTGAAGGTGTGATTTAAAATGTATAGTTGTATCATTAAACCAACTCTCAAAGAAGTCTCACCAATTTGTCTAATAGTTTCAAAGAATTTTTAAACTATGTACAGGTAAAAAAAGAACCTTTTTTTTAATAAAAACTGTAATTTACAAATAAATTATAATATTGTATAATAAACAATTTGGCAAGTTTTTTTGGCAAATAATTATTTTTTCATCAAAAAAGCTATCTGAGAAAAGAAACTTGAGAAAATCAACTTAAATTGCTGCAATTGTGCAAAAAACTAATATTAAACTTGTTTTTGTTAAAGAAACAATTCATTATATATGAGAATATATAGTTAGTTTTATGCGAACTGCGTAAAAATAGATATATATTTTTTTTACTAAATTTCTTTTTATCTTTGGCTGTACAAAATTTAGTAATTGGGGTCTTTGCCTTGAAAATCGAGTTATAGAACATAGTAAATTATATGTTCCATACTTGATTTTTAAGACAAAGACCCCAATTAGTTTACATAATATTTAAAATATTTTTTTACCTTCCCACCTGGATTTTATTGCTATTTATTAAAAAATTTTACGTTTACAGCTGTTTTCATTACAGCTATTATCATAATTTCTGGGATACCTGTAAAAATTTGCTGAATAATTTTTTGGCCGATCTGATTAATTTATTGATTTGGCATGATCCTTATAATAAAATAATTAATAAAAGCTATTTTTGTATCAAAATGATTATTTTATAATTGTTATAACAATAATATCAACAATTTTAAATTTTCATTCGTTTGTACAAAAATTTATGGAAAAAACTGTTCATATCAACCAGTAAACCTTAACAAGAAATGTAAAAAAGGAATTGATTATAAATTAGACTTTTATAACAAATATATTACTTGAACAAGTTCCGCTATTAAAAAAGTTAAATATGATCATGAATTTGTTGACTGGTTTAAAAATGAATCTCAGGTTGGGAAAAAATATGATGAACGAATCAAAGTGATTTTGCCAAAAAGGATAGAAATCAAAATTTAATTCAAATTTTTAAAAAATAATTTTCATTATAAATAATTAGAAATGAATAAAGGTTTGTTTGAATGAAAATGGATCTTGGCAAAGAATAGGAATTAAAATTTTACACAATTTTTTAAAAACAAATTTTTGTTAAAAAATAATTAGAAATTAATAAAGGCTTCATTTGAATGAAAATGGATCGTGCCAAAGAATAGTACAGTATTGAAATTTACGACTTAGAAGTGAGACAAGTATGCATGTTGATATTTAATCTTATTGTAATATATATTAGTTATCTGATCTTATTAAATCATGTATCTAATATATCTGTTACTGAATATTATTTTTCCCAAAATCTATAACTTAACCGGATCAGCTGAAAAATAATTTGTCAAATTTTACAGGTGTCCCAGGAATTATTATAATAGCTGTAACAGCTGTTTTCATTATTCCTGGGTTACCTGATAAAAAATTATAGCTATTTTCATAATTTCTGGAACCCTGATAAAAATTGGCCAAATCATTTTTCAACCGATTTGATTAAGTTTGTAATTTCATCATGATATATATTATAAAAAATTTTTGTATCATATAATGACTGTTTACAGATCATTGTAACAATAATGTCAATATTATTAAACTTTTGTTTAAATGCTTATCTAACATGATTGGTGTGTCAATAAGTCTTAACAAAAATATAAAAAAATGCACTATTTATTAATAAACATATTGTATGACTTGAAGTATATGTTAAAAAAAGATTTTGTATATAAAATATTACTTTTATTTGTATATACATACAAGTTGCCCTTCAAATTGTCATAAGACTAATTGCATCTCGGATTGTAATTCATACGAATACCAATAAGGTTTTTCATTGAAATTTTAAAATTTTAAAATATTTGTATCAATCTTGTTTAGTGAACGTGGTTCTTCTAAAAGTGACAGAAGCTTTCTAACATCTATATCTTTGAAAGTGCTTGAGAACCCGACTTATAACACCTAAGTGTTTGAAATGATAGGTCTTTTAAATTTTTTTTTTAGCGAAGATTCTTTAAAGGTGTTATATTTCTGTGTTCAACCAGAGATACAATATTCAGTAATATTAAACTAGTTATCTGATCTTATATATATCAAATTTATTAAATCTATTATTCTGAAATTACAAACTTAATCGAATTGGCTGAAAAATTATTCAGTCAATTTTTATTAGGTATTCCAGGAATTATCAAAATAGCCCACAGTATTGATAATCGAAGCTTTAGAATAAACGTCTCTTTTGATAGGTTGTCTTGGTGGTTGTTGTTGTTTGGTTTGTTGCTTTGTTTGTTGGATTAGTTGAGTCCCGGCAACCCTATAATTTCCCACGTAACAGTATTATATCTTACTTATAAAAAGCTCTTTCGTATTAATAACTCCTCTTTTATGTTAATAATATTCAATTCAGGATCTTTTTCACTATTAATTTCTGAATAGTTGTGGTCACTTTAGACAAGTCAAATAACTCAAAAGTATTTGATAAAAATTCTAGAGAATCTTTAATTGTTAGATCTGCTGTAAGCTTTGATTTTGTTGATCATAATTTTTAACGCATTTTTGACAAATATTTATTAAGTCTTGATTTTTTAGAATCTTGACTTTAGTTGAATTTTTAGCTAAATTTTTAGTCTAATCAATGAATTTTAATCGTATCTAACTTTTTTAATATTAGCATCTATTCGTGTAATATATTTATTAATTTGATATCCAGAAGTATTATTGGTTGACAAGAACTGTCTTTTCTATAAACTTTCACACAAATTAAACACACTAACATATTGGGCAGGCATTCAAATGAAATTTTAATAATGTTGACACATTTTAATAATAAAATTATTTGTAGAAATTTATTATAGTAATTTTTGAAATTGAACCAATGATGTAATTTAATTTATAATATAAACATTATACCAATATTACAGTAAACAAAAATTGGACGAATTCAAAAATATATTTTTTATATACCGATTATTCTGAAAAAATAACTTAACCAGATCGGCCGAAAAATCATTCGGCTAATTTTTTTATAAGTAAAATTTTATATAATTTTTGGAACACTTGCTTATTACCCGATTTGGTCATTTGGTAAATTACTTAACTCTTCGGAAACTACATCACTGTCTTCGGACCTTTAGTCCGGAGGCAGTGATATAATTTATAAAGAGTTAGGTAATTTACCGAATAACAAAAAGATTTCGGGTAATGAGCAGGTGTTCCAGAAATTATGCAAATATCTGTAAATTTTAAAAATCATATCTCATGACCCGACAACCTGGCAAAAATTTTAATAATCTATATTACTATTTTATTTCAATGTTTGTTTGTTTACTTTCCATATTTGTTACTAGTAAAGCTTAATATAACAAAGTCCAAATACATCTATTGTATAAAGAATTTATACTATATCAAATATTCGCTATGAAAAATTCATTATATCGAACTTTAACTATACTATAACAATAAAAAAATCCAATTATCTATTTATGATTTTTAAAAACCAATATTTATGTATTATATATACTATATATCTTCTATATTATTAATAAAGATATAGATAATACTAGCAATATACATTAGTAAACCATATGCTGTGTCAAAAAAATAGTAAGTTTTCATAACAGAAATTTACAGTACTGACAATAGAAATCATTGAAATAGTGAGTAAGCTTTGTAATGTAATTTTATAGTAATATTCAAGATAGAAATTAGGATAATTCCAATGTAAACTAACTCATCTTAACCATATATTGTGGTTATCAAAATAGTAAATACC